ATATGTCTGGGAACTGTAAGCTTTTGTCTCCTGGGAAATTAGGCTTGCTTGAGGACACTCTCCTAACAGTAAGAGGCCAGTACTCAAAGATAAATCACTGTCCAATCTGAAATATTTAACCCATGTCATCATATAGAGAATTGGCAGTCCAGCTAAGTGGAGTTTAAATGTTGCATCAGCTTTGTTGTCAAAAAACGAAACCGGAGCTGTTGGCTGATTGGCTGTAAGGTAGAACAAGGAGGGTGTGTTGTTCAGAGGAAGTGGGCCTGGCAGTGCATTCTGGGTAAGGTGGACGTGATTCTGATCTCACACCAGCAGCAGAACCAGTCAGGTGGGTTCAGCAGTTAACAAGCTGGTGCATTGAGTTGAGGGGCTCCAGTAGCTAGATCACTGGCTCTGTCTCACCCCAGGTAGCACCAGGGAATAGGAGCTTCTCAGCCCAGCCTGGGGCACCAGTCAACACCTTAACCAGGGAACAAGATGTTCTGAGTTTAAACCCACCAATTCAAGCTGGCCAATGCCATCACTGAAAAGGAGTTAGGGTGCAGAATCATCTGGAAAGGTCCAAGCATACCCACAACTTCGAAGGACGTGTTATGTCCAAATCCTTGGTGTGGGGGGTTCTGGGGGGGACAAAGGGGGGTTAGAGATTACTGCTAGAAATTCTGGGGGGGGGACTCAACATACACTGAGGCAAGTCTAGTCGCCCTGGAAAAACAAATCTGTACTAAGGCTGGGCAATATATCGATATGTTGTCAAACAAGGTATAGGATGAGAGAATGTTTATATCAATATACTTTTTGAGAGCAGTGTCATGAACTGAGAGAAGTGTCTGTTGGTGGACATAGTGGAATGAAACACTTATGTTACAGCTGTTTTACTTGACCCATGCAACACAGGTATATACATAATTTATGATATCTTAAGTCTTCTGTTTGGAATTAATACATTTCTATTCTATACTAAATAGGTGTGTGTTTGCAAACAGGGAAGGAAAACCTTTATTTGCTTTTGACCACACTTTCAATATGTTTGTGACATCTCACATGTGACTTTGACACTTCATAGATAATGACGAGGGGTTTATGCCTTAAAAATGGTTTAAAGGAGATAAATATTTTATGAATATACTGTTGGTATATTCTGTTGGTATAATGAAATAGTTGTCACGGGAGAGACCAACTTTAAATTACAGTGGACATTTACAAAATGGAGAGGATGACAACATTTGTTAATCATAAACAAGAGCAATTAGTTTCACACTGGAAATGGGTTACCTATGGCTTAATTTGATCTTTGCAAATTAATGATCACGTTGTAATTTGTTCACTCCCTCTCTGTAAATAGTTTTCTCTTTTCATTCTTCTTTCTATATACTTCTACTTTTGATAAGTATTATGGTAAGACTAATCAATTCAATTTATTTTTATATAGCGCCTTTCACAACAGAGTTGTCCCAGAGCGCTTTACAGGGTTGTGTTGTGATACATGAAACAGAAGTGGAGGGAGATACAGAACGGGGGGAAAAAAGGAAAGAAAGAAATTGAATAAAGAAAGCCAGATGAAAACGGAGGAGAGGAACCAAAAACTCCCAAGTAGGGAGGGAAAAAAACCTCTGGGGGTCCAAGGTCACCTGCCCCCCCCCGGCATAGTAACATTACTGAACACAGAAAGGAGTGGACATGCTTGCTAAAAGGGAGGTATTTGGTGGGATTAAGAATGAAGGCGAAGTCCATCAATGAGTCCGTCATTCATGTTGGCCTCTGGGGGTGGCTGAAGTCTTTTCTCCACGTTGGGCTGTGTCAGGTGGCACTGATCGCTGCACCCACGATGACCCATTTGCGATGTCACCCCCCCATGGAACTGAACCAGGACTCCAGCTCAGATGGTGCCCCCCCCCCCCAGGCACCACCCGGACATGTGGGAAGGCAGAGAACATGGATGTCAGAACGTGCATTGACACATAAACGGACAAGCATAGTAGATAAATATGAACGAATGATATATATGGCATCTAAATGATATGTCTTGAAAATGCTTGTCCTACGCTGAATACTAATAAAGATAATTCAATTTAAAAAAAAAAAAACTGAGGGAGTATATCGTGTATCACTCTCCTGCCTAAAAATACGAGAGATGATATTTGGTCCATATCGCCTCGTCGTAATCAGTACACTGAAGACAGTCTCTGTCTGGGGGTGTTGGGATCGCATCTAGAGATGCACCGATCCGATATTCGGCGCCGATCCAGACCTATTTTACGGATCGGTTGTCGGCCAAACTCATGTGACCGATCCACCTCCAATACTTACTTATTTAGCTTTCGGCGGCCTCCTATTTCCTGTTTCATCTATTTGTACGACTGCACAACTCTTTCCTATTTTTGATGTGTTTTTTGCAGCATTCAAACTGAACGCTAACGCTGCCGCTCAGTTTTTTGCTACTCAGTGGGTGTGAGTACAGTGACTTCCGCCTGCTGTGATGTCATGCGCACACCCTTTGCAGTACAAGGATCGTAAGATAAGACGTGACGATCTGGGAGTATTTTACGCTTTTAACAGCAAATAGTAACAGCGATATGCAAACTTTGTAAAAGCAAAGTTTAGATGGAAGCAGCGTTTACTGGAAAGTCCCACTAAACACAGCGCACACAATTCTGCTAGACATCATGTGTAATATGAAAAAAGCAATGCATGATTTGGGAGTCGCTACCATGGGCAGCTTTGCACACTCGCTACAAGGGGCTGCTACCCCAACTAAGTGTTGCCAGTGGGAGAAAAACTGTGGGACATTCTAAGCATTTGCCACTTGCTTATCCTCGCTAGGAAGATACTGACATTGAACTGCAAATTCCTCATAAACGCTTAAAACAAGATGTATCAACGAGGTGGAACGGTTCATCATGTATGGTTCTAGTAACCTAATTAAAGCTATTTTTGGTGTACGTTTTTTGCATTTGTATTTACTAGTTAAAAAAATATTAATATATATATCTCAAAGTAATAACCGCTCTTGTATCAGCAGTTGTGTATCAGAATCGGATCGGAACTGAAAAAATATGAATCGGCTCATCCCTGGTCACATGGCCCTCCTCTTCATGCCACTGCCTGTTCTCCCTCAGCTACACCCTGCCGGACAGGAAACTCATAAGCTCATCTGCCACGGGAGCACTTGGACTCATCCGTCTATCCTCCCTAAACGCTTAACCAGGATCATGCTGCTAACCCGGAACATATCCCAGAATGCACAGGGCAGGGGATATCCCGGACGAGATGCCGCCCATTCCAGGACAAACACAAACTATGGGAGATTATAAGATAGCAGTTTCCCTAACCCTATGCCATTGTGGAAAACGGAGTTCCCAGAGGGAATGCGTGCAGAAGGCACAGGCACTGGGCTTCGAACCCCCAGCCCTGGAGTGTGAGGCAGCAGTGGTGCCCACAGCCACCATAAGCCTAGTTGGCTTAATAGACTCCTTTTATTCTACAAGTCTTTAAGTAACCCAGGTTTTTTTTTTAAAATGAATGAACCAACTATTTGTGAAGGGGGAAGCCTTTTATAATGCTGGAAGTCGGGCCTTATGTTTACCACCCTCACCCAGCAGTTTGCCTCTCTGCTGGTTTTTAGCCGCTGTCCCTTCCTGTGGAGAAAACTCACCCCACAAGCAGAGCCAGTAGGAGCAACTCATGCAGCTCGACAGCCGTGCCTGTCGACACTTGTCTGAGGCCCCGGGCAGTTGGGTAACAGACCTCCTTAGCAGGCTACAGTCTCCCCAACCCACCCCGGCGAGGCAGCAAGGAGGGGAACCAGCTTTTCTAGCCCCCTCCCCCCCCCCCCGTCCACACACACACACACAAGTGTGGGAGGGCTGTTTTTCTGTCCTCGGGGATAATCCAGAAAGAGCTCTCATAAGCGTCGCATTTCGAGGCGTGTTTTAGCACCACTCGTGAAAAGCAGCTGGAATTGGAAACACGAATGATTGCGGGAGATTGCCATGGTAACCGGATGAGTTTGCGCGCGCTCTCCCTCCCTCCCTCTCTCACCCCCCAGTGCTGAGAGACACACGCCGCCCTTTTCCATCCAACTTCCATCCTTTTTTTGCTGGGGCCACAGCAATTCACGGCATCAAGCGCTTCTCAGATGCTTTTCCTCCGGCTGTGGTCCTGTTCCCTCCATGAGGAGTATCTCTGTTCTCTTGCTCTCTCTATCTGACGGCCACGGGCAGCCTGCCAGCTGCTGCCAGGGGGGTGACTTGGGTGGCGTGTGGCGCCGCGATGTGAGCGCTAGGTCGCTCGCAAAGCTCCTCCACAGGATGTCACAGGCAGAGATGCGGAAAACACTAAGCCCACTAAGACCTGTACCCCTTAGCGCGTGGGTACAGGTCCGGCTTCGTGCCCTCAGCGCGTGGGTACAGGTCCGGCTCCGTGCCCTCAGCGCGAGGGTACAGGTTGGGCTCCGTGCCCTCAGCGCGAGGGTACAGGTCCGGCTCCGTGCCCTCAGCGCGAGGGTACAGGTCGGGCTCCGTGCCCTCAGCGCGAGGGTACAGGTCGGGCTCCGTGCCCTCAGCGCGAGGGTACAGGTCGGGCTCCGTGCCTTTAGCTTGAGGTTGCACGCTGGGCTCCGTGCCCTCTGACGGTATTTTCATAGTTCTGCTGTTCTCCTGATGTTGGCAGTTCCAAGCTTGCTGAGATATTTCTCTGTGCCTCAAAAGCTGCCCATAGCTACAGAAGCAGGAAGATGAATATCTCTATAGATACCATACACTCGTTCCACAATGGGGGAATGATCTGTGAAGTTCACATTAAGTGCGTTGAGTTTTCTGCCAAAATGCTTTCGTGCATGTGATATCAGCACACCGATCCTGTTTGCTGTTACTCTGTGTGTTGCTGGAGCCCATGTACTTGATAGTAGTTCAGTTGTGCTGTCGGAGGTGCTGCTGTCAATGTCTTTGTCCAAAATGCCTGCAGTAACACCTTTCCCTTTTCATGTCGTCTCACAGATCCAACATGGACGAGGCTGAGAAGTACCAGCAGAGGGTGCAGGCTATCGCGGTGAGTCACAGGGAAGAGCAAGGGGAACCGGCATGGGGCCGTGGCAGTCCCAAGAACCTCCCTTCATGGTGATGTAGTCCTGGCAGACGCTGGTCTAGAACGCAGCCTGGCCTCGGTGTTCTAGAACAAAGCTTGTCCTCGCCGGTCAGTCTCTGGCTTGGAACGCAGTCATGCCACATCCATTAGACTAAGGAAAAGCTAAATGATAACAGTTGCTGGATGGTGTTTTTCTCCCTGAGCATCTGTGTGGTGACACATGGCCACACTTACGCTGGTAAGGCGAGCCTCCTTCCACACGCCGTCTGCGTCTTCAATAATTCAGTGAGTGAACCAACACCAGGGGCAGAGGCCGGCCTGCCCAAACCCCCCGCCCCTGCTGCCCAGCGTCCATGAGTAACTGAGTTGCTCTCCAGGGAGTTCCCATGATGCACTGGGCCAGGCAGCGAGAGCGTGTTCACGCAGCATGCCGGACGTCCTGTGTGTCTGAACCGGGGGGAGAAATTTGGGAATTTGACACGTCTAATGGGTGTCGGATCATCTTTGCTGATAGGAAGCCTCCCCGAGTGGCTGGGGTGGGGGGGTGTGTGTTCCTGAGCGCTGCTCTGAGCTGGATTGAAGCCAACGCCCTGGCTGAAGGCCAAGCAGGCCTGATGGACAGCCTGTATCCACCTTGGGTGGGGTCAGCTGGGCTCAGGTGCAGGCTGGGGAAGGTCGTGAGGCTGATCCCTAATTGTGTGTGTGTTCCTCCTGCAGGAGAAGCGGCGCCTCCAGGAAGAGCAGGAGCGCAAGCGGCGGGAGATGGAAGATGAGAAGCTGAGGCTGCAGCAGCTCAAGGTCGGAGCCCCTTGTCTCGCCCCCCCACCCCCCCCCCCCCCCCCTCCGCGAGAGGACACGGCCGGACACGGTGGTTCGCAGTACCAGCCCGCCCTTGGGCGAAGCTCCCTTAGTCTGTTTACTTGCGGGGCTGAATGAGCTGGTCCCGCTATTGTTCAGCGGTTATGGTGACGTTCCCCCTTCCTACTGTATGCCGCCCCATTGCCCGTTCCAAGAGAATTCCTTAGCTGTGTGTGTGTGTGTGTGTGTCTGTGTGTGTGTGTGTGTGTGTGTGTTTGTGTGTGTTTGTGTGTGTGTGTGTGTGTGTGTGATGGTTCGCCGCAGACGCACTGATCTGCCCCTCAATCTGTTTCCTCCCTCTCTGTGTGACTTTCTCTCACAGCCTTGCCCTTCCTCTGTCCTTTGCCGTCTCACGTTGTTCCCGCCGACCCTCCCCCGTTTGGTCTCGCTGGAATGGGCCCTGGGTGTCAGTGTGGGGGGGGGGAAGCCTTTCCTTCACACGCCCGCACATACACGTCCCACCGCTGCCCCCTTAAGTACAGGGGCTGCACACATTCCTCACCAACTCACATTTATGTTTGATTCATTCAGCGGATGCTTCATCCAAAGCCATGTACGTTTCTGAGAAAGCAGGGTCACTCAGTCCTTGGAGCAATTGGGGGGTTAAGGGCCTTCCTCAGAGGTGCACACATTCTGCTGACCCTGGGCTTTGACGCGACAACCTTCTGGTCACACTCACAAATGCACATACTCTGTCTCACTCTCACACACGCACGGTTGTGTGGTGACACTGCTGCCCTTCCGTCCTCCGTGCCAAGGGCGTTACCGACGAGTGAGCACTGCCGGGCCGTCGGGTCTGTTTGGGGAGTGCTTGCCTGTACGTCTCCAACGCGTAACAAAAAAAGGCTCCCCTTCGTCACTGTGGCCTCCTCCGGGAGTCCGAGACGTGTCCCTGCACCACTTTCACTTCCTGCTTCCAGTGAGGCAGCTTCATCCAGAACCAGGTCACCTCACCTAAGGTCCGTCCAACCCCTTCTGTGACACATTTTTGCCGCCTATGTTGTGTTGGTGCTCACTACAGTATGTCTGAAAACCGTCTGTTTGCTTGCTTGTTTGTTTCACATTGTTTGTTTGATTCATGTTTTTGTTTGTTTGTTTGTTTTGTGTTGCTCATTTGCCACCATTCCTTGTCATTTATGGTGCAGGGTGTTTGCATTCGAAATCTTGGTAAGCGAATAAGACTCTCAAGGATCTCTCAGTTCCAGGAAGGAAGCGTTCAAAGCTGATTTCCTTGTTTGACAACACAATGCCCTTGGCCTCTGCTAGCGATCAGTGTGCAGGAGCCCCCGTACCAAAGGGGCTGTTTGTTTTGGATCACGTTTGCTGGCTCTTAACACGCCCGGGGCCTGTTTTGTTTTGGAATGGCCGTTCCAAAGCAGTGCAAGACCGGGCAAGAGCGGAGCATGCTGGGAGGGCCGTGCCGTCACGCCGTGATCTGACCCCGGTATGCGCAGCCTGGCAGAACCGTGGCAAGGGGCCGGTGGTGGCGGCCCGCGGCTGAAATGCTGCAGAAGGGCTCCCCCTGCTGGTGCTTTGCTTCAGTGCCCGAGGGAGGAAGCACTAGAGCATGTCTGTGAGCTATGAGCTCGGCTGCATGTCAGTCTGACATGTTTTAGACACGGGACATTCCCTGGTGGCACCCGGACCCCCCCGTATAACAGTATTACGTTACTGCCGTAGTCATAGGGAGTGTCACACAGACGACTGCCCTCAGCCAGCATGGCTTACAGTGGCGTGGTCCTCGCTAATGCAGGCCCACTCTCACTGCACTGATTTAGTAACTTGATCTAGGGTACAATATAAAATCCCTCCCCGGTTGCCATATTGTGAGGTTGCCTATCCCTCTCTGTCTGAAAGTTCTCTCTGTTACTTCTTCCTCCTCCTGTGCTCCACAGAGGAAATCCCTGAGAGACCAGTGGCTCATGGAAGGTCCGTCCAGCCCTGATGCCTCTGGGCTGCGCTCTCCTCTCTGGGGGTCCCAAGCTCAGGAGATAGAGGCACGCATTGACCAGTAAGTCAAGCCGCCCCCCCTCCCCCAGTCAAAAGTGTCTAATTCGGAGGTTCCCAAGCCCAAGTCTGTGGGTCAGTTCAGCATCCCTCTGGGAGGTTTGGGGTGGGCTTGGTTAATTTCCAAAAATAAACTACGTATTTTCATGCCACTCATTCATTCATTCATTCATTTATACTGCCACTAATGTCTGCATCTGGAAAACATGGAATCAGCTGAAGTTTTAAAATCAGTCTCCAGATCCACCAGCAATACCTGTAATACACCCCCTCCCTATCCCACCCTCCCCCGTCCATGAAAGTTTTGCATAACGGAAGCTTGGGAACCCAAATTCCCTAACAGCTTTAACCAGAGAGGAATCCAGTGCTGAGGCGTGTCCATACATGGAGAACTTGTGTGTGTGTGTGTGTGTGTGTGTGTGTGTGTGTGTGGTAGGGGTTAAGGTTGTCATTGTTGGGATTAGGGTTTTGCTCATAGAAATGAATGGAGAGTCCCCAACTTTATGTGCGTGCGTGCGTGCGTGCGTGCGTGCGTGCGTGTGTGTGTGTGTGTGTGTGAGGCCATCAGCATGTCAGATAGCTCAGCACACTTACCAGTGTATGATTCCAACTGTCAATATACAGAACCTACAGCTGCAGCTTATTGTACAATGTGTACAGCCAGTCTCTCTCTCTCTCTCTCTCTCTCTCACTCACTCCATTCCTCCCGTGTTTGTGCACACGTGTGCAGACTGCAGGTGGATAGCCAGCGTCTGGCGGAGCAAGAGAAGAACCTGAAGGATCTGCCCAAGAACGAGGAAAACCAAATGGCCGGGGACGTACAGCGGCGCAGTGAGGTCAGCGGGCCGTGCGGGGAGCAGTGCGGGGAGCAGTGCGGGGAGCAGTGCGGGGAGCAGTGCGGGGAGCAGTGCGGGGAGCAGTGCGGGGAGCCGCCCTTCACACACATCCAGTCAGAACCTGCCTCTGCTGGCGAATGAATCCCGCTTAAAGGCAGCGGGAAAATCCCTGCCACCCGCCCAATCGCAAATCAGTTCCTCTACCCACTCTGTCCCACACCAACTGAGGACAGCTCTGAGCTGTAGACACTGATATCCTTGTGTAACTGGGCGTATTCCCTGCCTATTAAAAATAGCTTACTTAGGTGTGGTTATCTGACAACTGCACTGTCTATTGAATATTTTAATAGACATCAATCAGGTTAACAGTGAAATTAATTGAACTGTAACCTGACCGAGCTGTAACCAGTAAGTCAGAAATGCACAGTGGGCTCCGATGATTGTCTTCTCGGGGCAGAAATACATCTGGTGCATCTAAGATATAACAATGTTTATCTGGGTGTACACTAACCCCAAACAGTCACACATCCGATTCACCGCCTGTGACCTACCGACCAGCAGCAGCCGTGATACCACCACTCAGACCACACATTTGGGTGGGGTTGGCTAAAAACACGTCCAAAAAACTTTGAGAGGCGCCTTAGAAGCAACAAACCCCCCCGCCCCACCACCACCACCCACACACGTCTCGCATCATCAGCAGAGTATTTAGCATTGGCGAGGACATTATGATTGTTGAAGAGTTTTGTTAGATTTTGATTTTAGGTTTTTTTTTTTTGTGGGTAACTGTACATGATTTATAGGAAATTATTGATAACTAGCTTGTCACAAAGAAGCCCAACCTCACTCCAGGACTCCAGTGTACACCTTTTGCAGGAATTTACCACAATGCTGAAATGCTGTTTAGTAATCAGCAAAAGTGAATGTTCAGACTAAGCTAAGCCTCCATAATGATATGGCTCACATGGGCCCTCTTGTGGTCAGAATTAACTATGAGCTATTGCTTTGTAATATGATTAATTTCATTCTGTGGATCCTATTTGCCATTTAAAATGAGAAAATAATGGTCTGTACATCCTAATAAAAATGAATTTATGTAAGGCAAGTTATTTCAATAAAACAGGTGTAATGTCATATGACAGATCTTAATGCAAATTTTCTATCTGAACATGTTTACTTCCCTCTGGCTGTTACCATGGTAAAATACCAATCCGTGCCCGTGTCACTTCCTGCTACTGGAGCTGCGGCAGTTGACCCCACCTGTTTTTCTTTCCCGCAGGCTGAGACAGAAGAAGGAGGAGTAGAAGGTAGGTTTAATCTACAACCCAGAACCCCCCCTCCCGCCCACCCCACACATGCAAGGCCTGCTGGGAGAAGGCCAGCAGAAAGAGCAGGCCCGCCAGCACCCCCTCCCTCAGTCAGCAAGCTTTAAAAGCTGCGCTGGCACTAGGGAGTGCCGGTGCCGGCGGGGGAGTAACTGCTCGCGTTAGACGCTCAGGCCGCCCAGCTCAGGGTCCCGTGGGTCTGGCAGAGCTTCAGAAGCAGCAGTTCTTCCCTGAGCCGCTTGTCTGATCTGTAAAGGTGCCGCGAGCGTCTGTCATGGCTGCCCCGTGTGGGCTGAGCTTGCTGTTCCCGTCCTCCACCTCCGCTCCCTTCTGCTGCCAGCACGATCCACCGTCTCTGTTCTCTCGCTCCTCAGACGGTGCCTCCCGTCAGGCCCCCAGGCCTGCCCCCCGCCTGCAGAGAATGGCTGTGCAGAATGGACAGGAAGAACGAGCAGGTACAGCCCCCACCCCGCTCAGGCTGTCCACCCTGCCCTGCGTACGGCAGCTGACGCTGACCCAACACACGGTGAACCATGTCACCTGCCTGCTCCATACTCCCTCACAAAGACTTTTAATCCCTGCTTTAGTTAGGATGTGTCTTTCCTGGGTTGTTGACCTTCCAAGCTTTTTGTGAACCGTAAGATGTCCGACATGCCGAAGACTTCTAAATCTGAATTTGTCATTTCTGTGTTCGATCATTTCCACCATGGCAATATTAAATTGAAGCAAATCTGAATCATAGAGCAAATTTGAAAAACTCGCTCAATCCACAGCATGAGTTTTTGAGAATTTCTGTGGATGTGTTGAGTTTTGGAAATGTAAAGAAACTTCTTTGTTGGACTACAGGAGAACTGAGTGATTTTTGGTTCCCAATACTTGAACACATGGTGGGGAAGCCTGACTTTAGGTTATTGGTGATGTCATCTCAAAAAAAAAATCAACTCAATCTGAGGTGCAAAAATTTGCTTTTTGAACAAAACTCTTGATGACTCACTAATCAGAAGCTAAAAAGGCAACAGATGGTTTGACATCCAGAACATAGCAAAGTAAAGCCGATTCGGGGTATACATGACCAATTTTTGGGCTGCTCACCTTTCATCCTTTCCTTCTACAGTCCTAGGAGTTGTGGAGGTGCAGGTGGAGAAGGATTTGAAGACGGGGGCCACTATCATCAAATCCGTGGCACCTGTAGACCCCGGGGAAGCAGCATGCTCTGGGGAGAAGGTGTTCGATGACGGAAGCAAGAGTGTGCACACGACAGCGGGGGCCGCGGGGAGCCAGCCCAGCCCCGAGGAGCTCGGGCAGATCCTGAATGCTTTGGGGGGTGTGGGGGCTCCAGTGGAGGCCAAAGTCATCGTCAATGGGAGGAAGGAGGGCGGCGAGGAGGCCTGCAGTCTGCCACTGGAGGAGAACGGATCAGACGTAGCTCATAGTGCCACCAGCCACCCGGCACCTTCAGAGGAGACTGCTAGAGTCAATGGAACCTCCAGGGATGAGCTGCCGGGAGCTGAAGGGGAAGAGGGTGTCATCACCATGACGTTCCTGGGCTATACGGAGACGGAGCCGGGTCAGGGCCTGAATGGGGAGGACATGGGGGAGATAATCCGAGCAGAACGTGTCATCATCATGGATGACGGGGATGAGCAGGCCGACGTGGAGAAGGAACCGGCCCCAGGGAAAACCGCAGAGCCCCCGGGAACACCAGGAAGCTCCACTTCCACAACGCCCCAACTGGAGCCTGCTGACCCTGAGCTTCAGCCTGACCCTGAGCTTCAGCCTGACCCTGAGCTTCAGCCTGAGTCCGAGACCGAACCTGAAATCAAACTGGAACCGGGTGCTGACGTTCCCTCAGACTCTGAAAAAGCAGCTGAATCTGGGCTGGACGAAGCCAGCAAACCAGATTCAGGAGCTGGAGGGGAACAAGAGGCCATACCTGAAGCCATGGAGAACTCCATCGAGCCTTCCCAGTGCACCATGAACTCGACAGAGCCGCCCTCCCTTAGGCCCACGCCAGATACAAAGGTAGACGGGGCCGAGCCTGGGGACAGAGCGATGGAGGAGCCCGCGGCTCTGGCAGCCAAGACGGAGCAGTTCCAGGAAATCCCTCTAGATGGAGAAGCAAAGCCAGACATGCAGCCCCTGCTGGCCGTCGCTGACAGTGATGCTAACAAGCAGGTGCTCAGGCCGACCACCGAGCAGCAGCCCCTGCTGTCCGCCTCCAAAGCCCCCCCGGAGACGGAGCACGCCGCGCCCAACCGGGCCGAGGGAGCAGACGGCCCAAAACACAAGTCCTGTCAGTGCTGCTCCGTCATGTGAGCTCGTCCACTGCCCCAAACACGCTCTGTCCATCTCTCCACCCCCTCCTTCCCTCTGTCCTTCTCCATTGCCATTCATGCCCTTGGTTTCCATGAACATCTAGAAAATATCACCACTGTCCTACAAATGGAGTTCATCTGAGGCGTTGGACCACACACTTGCGATCCTGGATGGTGTTACTATGGACACTCGTTTGCACAACTGGCCAGAATTTTTTTGCCCCCCCCCCCCCCCTGCTGTTGCGAATTCTCACCCCTGACATGCTATGTGAAGACACACCCTGCTCAACCTGGAGCACTAATGAAAACTGAGGAACATGCTGCCTGGTGGGACTGCTTCAGAAGAATCAGTGTAAGATCCCACAATTGTGCCTGTTTCCAAAAGCCGTTGTGCCTTTGCTGTCACCCAAAAACCCATTCTGAATGCAGTAAGGGGATCTGCGCACGTTCTGAATGTAGTATGGGGATCTGCGCACATTCTGAATGTAGTAAGGGGATCTGCGCACGTTCTGAATGCAGTATGGGGATCTGCGCACATCTGATGGGGAAGCTATTAGATGGAATCTTTCATCAGTTTCTTCAAACTTCGAGAGCTGGTGACAGTGTCACAGTCCAACACAACTCCCCTCAACAAAGTGACTGACTGCTCAGTCATGTCAGCGCTGTGTGCAGTGTCTTCTCAGCTGGTTGAGGAGGGAACGCTCAGCTAAACCACTGGATAAGTAACGTGAAGTCCCAGTCATGTGACCAGAAGATCCGTATTCAATATTAACAAAGCGTTGATCCGTGTGCTGTGTGCCGCGACTTCAGATGCGGCTCTCTGACTTGTTCATGAACGCAGTACGTCCAGTGGGATGGTTTGCTACTGACTCCAGTCTATTTCACACATGCTTCTCTGTCGTCCTACGGATTTCCAACCACACCACGCTGCCGCTGTCCAGCATTTTATTCTACGGTGTTTTTAAAAATATACTTTTACACTAGGCGATTTTAATAATACAGATGTTTTGTCATTTAAATTCAGTTCACACAGCACCAAAGCTTTTTGAAACGTATACATTTTTAAAACAGCCAGATACTCCCTTTATGATTCTGCTGTGGACCTTAATGTATATAAACTCGTATTGGGGTTTGTGGGTGCTGTTGTATAGAATGTCTTTTCTGTTGGTAAAGTGAGAGAATGTTAATCGGCAACATGTGTAATGTTTGTCAATCGATGGAGAACTTTATAAACAATGTAAAGGAGAAAATATTACAAAGATTTTTCGCCTTTTATGAGTCTATTGTGTGACACTTTGCAGACAATCGCAAATACTGCACGTCGACTTAAAAGCTCGGAACGTTTACTGAAGCTAGTAAATTTTGAACATTTAGGAATACGGCTGGGTTTCTTCCTTGTTTGTCACTGATATAATACATCTGATATATAAAATGATACACTCATGCCGCGACGGACCGGACACGCCACAGGTGCAATGCAGCCGACACGTTAAATTCTGCGTGCTGGATTTTATAAAGTTGATGGCTGGCATTTCCTGCTAACAGCCTGAGTCTAAAGTCTTATGTACACCTTGGTGCTTTGCTTGCTGGCAGGGAAAGGCGGATTCTTGCTATGGCTTAGTGATGCAATGCCGGTTTCACTCCAAGCTTTTAATGCCAAGAGGGCGATCCGGAGGGGGAGAGTGAGCTTGGCCGTATCTTACCGCCGCCATGCCGGGTAACTGCAGCGGCTACACCGTCTTGCGGAGGAAGTTCTCTGTATCGCATGGACGTACCAGCAATATCAAGAAAGACGCCTATTGAGAAAACTTATTTTTAAAGTGTTTGTTTTTCTTTTTGCATTATGTAATTTCTGGAGACTGGATTCGTGCAAGGTAGGCTAAGTGATGCACGCTCTGCCGACACTTGGTTTTGAGGTGGGTGTAATATTTAATCCAGGTGGGTTAATTTTTTAATGCTGTTCCGGAAATTCTAAATCGAAAGTCATGAACAAAGCATTTCATGTTTAAAGATGCATGTAAAACGTTTTCATAATTGTTTCATTGCTTTTGATGGACCGCTTTCTGTGATTTCGTTCCGTATTAATAGCTGTAACAACGCAAATTAACCGCAATTAATTCAATGTTATATAAACTATTTAAGACGGAAGGACAAGGAAATGTATTTTTATTCTAAAATTTGGCTGGGCGGGGCATCGACCCCCGCTGCCCCCCAGGGGCCACACATCTGCGCACGGCCTAAAAATGCTTTACTTGGAGAAGCCGCCATATTCGTTCTTCCTGCTTGGTTAAATCTAGCCGGCGGGAAGGATATGCAAGTTGTCTGATAATGAATTCAGTCAACCTTCCGACACTTTTTAAGTGGAGGTCTAATTGACAAGCGCAGTACTTGTCACTCTGTCCTCAGCTCGTCCTTACATGGTATCCCCGGTCTGACCCTCCCCTTTTTATTATCTGCAGTCTTATAACCTGCCGCAGAAACACAAACCCGGCACGTCTCATTTAAAACTCTGTCCCCTTCCCTGCAATGAAATACAAATTTCACCAGCGAAGATGCGGCCGCTGAACTTCTTGCATGTTTCCGCCGCACCGAAACGGTGGCGCATGATCACCGCCTTAATGTCTCCCTTGTACGTGCTCAGACGTGTTCTTGCGGATGGGTTAAAATTGACGCAATGTGCACAATGCGGGTAGCTGCTCTTGTTATAATGAAAAACAACATCCTCGTGGATTAGGTCACCCATCATTATCTAAATGCCTGAACCGCGCCTCACAGTGCTGATGAAAATCCTGTTCGGAAATCTAGTGAGGTTCTCCCCCAGCGGACCAGAAACCCTGTTCCCGATTATGGTACTAATAGATCTCTTCGGGATATTGAAGGTGACTACAGTGACTGCTGATGAAGGAATCATAATCCGATTAAGGAGTTTTGCTAAGCAGACAGTACGTGGAAAATCCTATTTTGCTGGACTTATCGCTGTGATAAAACCCGGGAAGTCCATGGGTTGTGGATGACTGATGTTTCAGAAATCGTCAGTCAGAACTAAAATATTTCTGATTTCTTATCTGTGTTTTGCGGTTTAATGAATAACCTACATTTATGCATACACATATACACATTACTGTGGAAAAGTCTTAGGCAGCCAAAGAAAGTGATGTTTAAATGATCTTTATATTGGTGTAAAACTATGTTATTACGCCTGTCAAAGTGTGTTAGCTTAGCCATCGAAACCTGAAATTACCCCATTTACAGCAACCTTTCATTACACCCACGTATGACGCACCCCTCCTGTATAGCTAATCAATATCTCATTGGCTTTTTAACTAATTAAGTTAATTCATTAAGTGAGCTGGTGCCCCTGAGGAGAGGTTTGGGAACTGAAGCAGTGTTCATCTAGCCACCCAACTAGATATCAGTAACCTTTTGCAGTTTTTTTTTACTAGTCTTTATTGTGCTATACTCTTAATTTTCAAATGGTATAATTTTAAATTGTTTTTTTTTTTTTGTTCTGAGCAAATGTGCACTTACTACCCAGATGAATAGCTTTAAACATTTCTTTTGACTGCCCAAGACTTTAGCGCAGTACTGCATATATAAACAGATTTTCCTTTCAAATGGTAATATCTTTGTTTTATTGTCTGCAGTCTTGCGTCAGACTTTTGCTATGAGGTCATGAAACAGCTGTTAGGTTTCAAAGCGAATGTTTATTCAGAAGCTCTTAATCTGAGTTAACTGGGATTTAGCTGAAGTCCGCAGCCATCACACTGATGCGACAATGACTCGTACGATGCTGAAGGTATGTTGAGCAGTTGGTTTGTCATACTTTCACAAAGGAATTTTCCCACCAGACTCTACTATGGTAAAGAAGGGGACACTCCACAGGTGAGAATGAAGTTGGGGGCCAGAGCACTGGGTCAGGCCATTTATAAGGCACTCCTAGAGCAGGTGGGGTTGTGCTAAGGGGTCTTGCTGAAAGGCTTGATGGAAATGTCATCGTTCTGCCGAAGACAGGATTCAAACCAGCAAACTTCCAGTCACAGACGCCGAGGTCTATCCTGCCCAGCCAGTCACCACCTCTCAAGATCCCTTTTGCATGCACTTGATGTATCTTTGTTGGTCATTTTCTTATGAATGTCTGTGATGAAGATGTTGGTCAGGATACGGGTTCCGCATGCTGCTCAGGTGAGTGACCCCATGTGGGCAGAGGAGTCGTGACATCAGGCTACAGCCACACTGAAAGCAGAGAGAAGTTTGCTTGATATTAAAAAAGCCCATTTTGTTTTCCGGGAAACGGCATGTGAAAACTAAACGGCTTTCAGCAATTTGCCTTCGTTTGGAATTGATTAAAAACAACTTTAATCCTGTGTAGCGGCTGAATTTTAGTGAGGGCAGAAGGCAATAGACAGTAAAGTGTTTTGTGTGGCCACCGCAGTATGTGGACACGTGTATAAGGTTATGGGGCGAGGAGGTGCGGCGCTGCTCGGCCCAGACAGAAATGAGTGAAGGATCATGGGAAAGCCGAAGTGGAGCGGCGTGACGCAGCTGAGAGCTCAGCCCTCGGTCTGTCAGCTGTGAGATTGGCCACATTCCACCGAGCGTCTCAGAGGGCTAAGCCGATTTGACATTATCCCCGATTCAGCAGGAAACTTTGCACTGAACGCCAGTGAGTCTTTTGTGTCTCACTGACGCATGACTGTGAGTCAGCTTCCGTGTGCCTTTACAGTCCTGAGATCCACTCCAACGGTTACACCACCACAAGTATTTGACAAAACTTATGAATCTATGATGCGCTCCATTTTTTTCTTTTGAAATGGATCATTAGAAAATAAGTAAAACAGGTATCTGAGCTATGTTTTCTAGAGCTTAGAAAGTTATTTCCATTCACCAGCTACTTATCTGTAGAGTGAATTAGGAGCTTATCCAAGGCTGCGTAGGGCAGTGTTTCGCAACCCGGTCCTCAGGAACCCCAGACAGTGCACGTTTTTGCTCCCTCCCAGCTCCCTGCCAGACAGTCCCCACCAGGACCTGAGAGGGAGCAAAAATGTGGACTGTCTGGGGTCCCTGAGGACCCATTTACGAAACACTGGCATAGGTCACAAGGCAGGGGACCCTGCAGGGGTTGCCAGTCTGTTGCAGGGCACAGCAGGATATTTACAGATTCCAACTCACCCAACTGCGTGACTGCATGGCTCAGTTGGTATCACACCTTTGGGGTGTGAATGCTGCCCCTCCTGTGTGTGTGTGTGTGTGTGTGTGTGTGTGTGTGTGTGTGTTTGGATTAGGTTTATATTACATTTTTACCAAATGTCCCCCACAATGTGATAAAAACTTATTTTGACATTTTGGGGACCATTTTTCAGGTCCCCACAAAGATCTGTGAATGCAATCAAAAAACTGAAAATGCCAAAAGTCTCGTATTTAGTTTGGTTACTTATAGTTAAGGTTAAGGCTGGGTAGGAGTTAAGGCCGTCATGTTGGGAGTAGAGTTTTCCCCATAGAAATGAATGGGGAGTCCCCACAAAGATATAATTACAAACCTGTGTGTGTGTGGAGTTTGTAAAGGCATGCACTTAAACTGAATAGATGGACACCTTTCCAAGAGGTCATGCATCCTGCTTCTGAACACACTTTCAAGTCATATTGCACTCTATCCATACACTGTTCCTGCAGCATCGCCAGGCATCACCTGATGTGTTTTATGGTGGATGTGAGACACTGCATGTCTTCAGTGCACTCAAAAATCATGTAGAAACATAAACAGTACACTGTCTCTTTAAGTACCTTTCACAACGCATATTTTTGGTGAGGCAGCTTGTTGCAATTTATTAAGAAACCACAACAGTTTATGAGAAAACTGTTAACAGATGTATTTTTGTAGCAGTTGTAAAAGGCGGCATGGTTATTTTGGGAGCTGTGTTTCAGCGTCTGTTCTTATTTCAGATCTGTTCTGAGTTGAAGAACACTGAATTTCATGAGGTGTCCCATGGCATGAGTGTTCACCTGCAGTCTTTGCTAACGGAAGCGAGTTTCAGGCCTCCCATTAGAACTGAATCTTGGAAAACCAACCCAGGAGAACAGCACCTGGGGCCTGTGGATGGATGATGCCGTGGACAGAGAGGGAGAGGGGGTAAGCACCTCACCCCGCCAAGGAGAATCTTCTGGAGCAGAAGTAAACAACACTTGGGCTGACTTACCTGAACCCAAAAGGTCAATCACTGAGTCTCACCATCAAGTAATTGATGAGAAAATTGATAGTTGTCACTTGTTCATAACCTGTTTGGACTCAATCCAGCCAGCAGTGGGCTGTAGTGAGGACGGTAGGAGGCTGGATCTTAAGGAAGAGGTCAGTGAAGCAGATGCCTTAAACATCTCTTTGGCCACAGAAGGTCAGTTGACTTGTGGCAGTCAAGAGGTTGGATCTCCACAGTTAAGAACAGACCTGAACACTGAATCGAGGACCATCGTCTGCTGGCTAAATGGGATCAGGGAAGCAGGTGAAGCGTGCAGTCTGGGCGGTGCAGACTCATGCAAAAATTCAAATGAAGTGATACCTTTAAGCAAATCTGGAGAAGCTCAGTACCTCAGTTGTGCAGATGTGCAGAATAACATCGAGTCACCAGGAGAATCAAATGTCTCTTTCCTTACAGCGGAAGTGGGAGGAGGTGGAACAGACCACAGTTTGGACAGAAAGTCCCGTGACTTTAACACAGCACCAGAGAAGAGTGTTATCATGGACAATGTTAACAGTAAAACGCCAAAGCCCACCATCTCGGATTCCTCCAGGGGCCTGGTCATAAACCCCAATCAACAGCCTGAGCACAAAGAAGCCCTGATCCTCAACACTGTAATAATACAAAATTTCCAGCAGGGGGAGCTACATCACCTGTCTCTACCAAAAGAGAGGCAGGAAGCACAACAGGTGTTCAAAGGGTCTCCACCCTTAGTTACTGTTGCCCAGGAGTCTGCCAATCAGGAGCCCGGCTGCCATGTATCTGCTTCTGTTGTAGTGAGGGAGCTGTTGAGAGGGACGGGGTGGTGGAGGGAGAGAGAGAGGGAGGAGGAGGAAGGTGGACAAACAGGTAGAGGAAAGGAAGAGAAAGAGGCCAGGTTTCACGTGGGCGAGGCAGGAATAGAGAAGCTGGGGAATAAAGGCAAGGGAGAAACTAAAGAGACACACAAGTTGGGCCAGCGAGCAAAATCTGCCTACAGCAGTGACAGAGCAGTCTGGATGGAGGGGGACAATGGGGACGATAACCAGAGTGACAGCGGGGTGTCTGTGGATTTCTCACCTGGAAGCACCATGCAGCTTCATCCAGTCCCTGATGATGTCGGCGGGGTTCCTGCTTTTCTAGGCGAAACGCCTATCGAGAGGGAGATTCGCCAGGCAGCAGAGCGGGAGCAGAGTCTGCGCCGTGCCCGGGGCCTTTCCAAGACCGAGGAATTTGTGCATATTCCCTTGAGGCGGTCTATTCTGTCCCAGCCGCTGCCCGCCAAGTTGGGCAGGGTTCAGGGGAAAGACCGGCTGCTTGCCGGCAAGAAGATGCAGTGGGAGATCAAGATGGAGTCAGAGAGGGAGCAGGCTCTGGTCCAGTTGGGCAAGGTGCCAGGCTTCTACGACAAGGGCAGCGTGGGCCAACTGCGAGAGAGGAAGCTGCTGTTCGAGGCTCTGCAGGAGAGCCAGCTGGCAAAGCCGCCCCTGTCAAAGAGGCCTTCGGCCCAAAGAGACAGCGCTTCTACTGCAGGATCTGACCCTGGGCATCTGCACAGCACATTGCACCTCTCAAAGGAGCTGAGTCAGCCTCGTGTATCATGTGGCCCTACACTCTCTGAGGGGCCTCAAGGACAGGTCATCCTTCAGGAGAGTGTTTCCGTGCCTCAGAGCTTCACAGCCGGTCTAGAGAGCCCCCCACGGCCCTCCCACAGCACGGACTGCGTAACTATAATCCCCACCGCGACCAACGAGGGAGAAGAGGAAAATGACCAGGGGGAACCCAACCTGCCCAAGGAGAACCCCTTCTTTAAGCTGCGCTCCTCCATCTCCCTGAGACCCAAGGTGGAACAAGACATCCGGGAAACGAGGGAAAGGGAGAGGGAGCTACGGAGGCAGAGGAACAGCTTGTACAGGGGGGAGACTAGCGGGACTGCAAGCGGGCGGCGGGCAAACACAGAGACACGCATCAGCCCAAAGCCACGTTACAGCCTCCCCTCTACAGACCAGGTCTCCAGGTCCCCCTCACCCACACCGCCAGGTCAGTGACACTCACACTCCCCTGTATTCGTATATGTATATCGCATCTCCTTTAGCCATCTGCTGTGCTTGTCACCTTGAATCCAAAATCTTTGTAGAGTCAAAAATTTCCCTAGACTTTCAGGCTCAACTGCAGGGGCCTTTTAGCAGAACATCCTGTGCGGTTTCGCCACTAAACTATCTGACACCAGCTACCGTAACTTCTGGTTCCAGCCTGAGCACGTCCGCAATCCCCCCAGCTATGTCGCTGAAAGTCACCCTCTGCAGGCAGAATTTTCACCGTGAAATTTGTGCAGCTCTTCAATAAGTTAAACATTTCACTTTGCAGCCAAAATGGGCGGGCTGGCTATGACTGCTTGGGTTGCAAATTAAACGTGGCAGCTGAAGGCCGATGTCGGCAGATCGCACGACGGCCGGCGTGTTTTGACGCCACCTTTTTTTTTTCCACCTGCTGTTAACGACCCGTGTCACTGTGACACCTAGGTGTGTCTGACCCTGTTACTGGCCCGTAAAAATAGCATGGACAGTAATGTTTTCCAGCAAGAGATTCATGTGGGGCTGATTAATAAAACTTTCGGAGCTCTGTGCTGTCTCATTATTCTACTCAGGCAGTCTGACCTTACTTCTGGGTGGGGGGGGGGGGGACGTACGGGTCTCAAGTTTTCAGGTTTCAAGATTTATTGTCACGTATTCCAAGGAACACAGTGAAATTCTTGTGCTACAGTTGCAGGGGAAGGGACAAGTGCATAGGGGAACAAGGGGGATGAATGAATGAATGAATGAATGAATGACAGCAAGCCAGAGGACAATGGATGTGAGGAACCAAAAAGATTCCCTAATAGGGAGAGAAAAAAACCTCTGGGGTCCAAGGTCAACTGGATACCCAACCCCCACCCCCCGACAGTGCAAATTTAACTCATAGTACAGCGCCATCTAGGTGAACTAGGGTGAAAGGGGTTCAAAGGCATACTGGGCACTGCAGGAGATGCAGAGCAGCAGGTGTGATCTGTATCCTGAATAAATTAAGAAGAAGATACAGCCAGTAAGGACACACTGTCCACGACGTCACCAGGGTTGTGCAGTGCCTGCTGACCATGCACTGGACAGAAATGGAAGGAAAAATCCTCCACCTTCTGTCTCAGACATGGTTGTTTTAGTGGTGCCTTTTATACGTATTTTAATATAAAAGTTTAAAAGATCCACCGTAGGGATGCAGGCCCACCTGCCTGCCTGTTGGATTGTTAGCTTGTGTGTGTATTGACATCGCTCAGCAACTACTGTATGTAAAGAACTATCCTACAGCCAACAGTCAAACTAGCTGGGAACATCTGGCCATAAACTGTACCCCAGTGCCGTGGTGTTGGCCAGTTTGTTACATAGCAGGGGGACACTGGAATTCATTCAAAGTTTTTGCACACACTGTGAGATTTTCTACATGTGCATGTTACTCACTTAACATTCACTAAAAATGCAATCAATATTCTTTGCTAACAAATAAATTTACAGTATGTTCACCATTTGAGTACCTTTATTGGCAAGAAAATGTCATATCTTTGATGCATGAAAGTAACCTCCTCTATCTCAAGTACCCCGACTGATGTTCAGCATGTGACATACTGCAAAGGCTTGGGACCATGTTCTCAAAGCTTCAGGCATGGTCTGGTGGGTTCGAGAGATTTTTCCAACGTCATTATTATCTATGGTCCGAAATATGCGGCACGTGAGAAAGTCAAATTGTGCTTGTTGAATTTTCTAGTGGGTCAGGCCAAACTTGCGATTTGGCCGTCATGAAAAAATAAGCGGAGAGGGGCTGGGCTGACGGACGCCAAGTCTATACTGGTGGGGCTGGTAGCGATGCGGCTCAGGGTGGGGTATGCGTACTCTGTGCTGACCCACACCCTGCAGGATTTCACCATGGTGTGGGGGCAATGCAGAGTGTTGTGTGAACTTGGCGATGATCAAAGTCTAGTGTTGAAAGTATGATGTGCATGTGAATTTGTGGACTGATATCTTTTGTTTGATCTTTTTATTTTTGTTATTTTTTGTTTTTCCTCATTTTTTCACCTATTTTTTTGAGTAAGGATTAATTGTGCATTCGTGTTAATAAGGACATTTTTAAAAGTCCAAAAAAAAAGTCTCACTGTCTCTCCCTCTTTCTCGCTCTCTCTCTCTTGCTGTCTCTCTCTTTCTCTCTCTCTGTATCTCTCTCTCTCACCCTCTCTCTTGCTGTCTCTCTCGCTCTCTCTCTCTTGCTGTCTCTCGTTCTCTCTATCTGTCTCTCTCTCTCTCTCACCCTCTCTCTTGCTGTCTCTCTCTCTCTCTCTCTCTCTCACCCTCTCTCTTGCTGTCTCTCTCTCTCCTTTTCTTACAATATCTACTTGGACAGTTTTGACATTGCCTGCTTTTCACAGAGCAGATTATGGTTGTTTCGCTTCACTCTGCCTTCCCCGTCATTTCCATCGGTCCTCAGGCCCTGGTAAATAAAGCTATATTGCTCTTATGGTGACAGAGAACATATGTGCACTTAGACTCTGGCACCTTCCTTTCCGGCATATAAATATTTGTCTTAATTTCATTGCCACGGAGGGAGCTGACTAACGCGGGAAGCGGTCAGTCTCTGGGTCGCATTCCATTCATTCTTACTTTTCGCGCAAGCTGTGCTGACACCCTGCCTTCGTGTCGTGACCTTTCTCGGTAGGCGTGCCCCTGTTTTTGTTAGTTACCCACTGCTGATTACATCCTTTCTCAAGCAGCACTTTACCATCAAAGGCCCTTGTAAGTAAGCAGACAATCGAGCTGCCGGTGATTTCTGTAGAGAGACCTCGGGAATGTCTGGAAGGTAGCTGGGTCACACCGTCAGTAGGACGTGGGGGCCTAAGCGGCTCCTAATGCTGCATTTTTAAAGCTCAGGGGACCCTCCCCCCCAGGGCCTAATTTGTCATGGGTGCAGATGTGAGCATTTTTGCGACTCCCTGGGACGAGCCTCAGAGCATAAACACGACATCCCAATGCGGGGACACATCGTCCCTGCATGACTGCTGCTGACTCTCTGTGTATGTTCCCCTTCTGTCTCGCTGTCCCTCTGTCCTGCCTGCAGCCCGACCGGGTAGGAAGCTTGACCTGGTGTGGCCCCCGGCCCCGACAGATGAGAAGAGAACAGCACAGCTGGAGGAACAGGTGCGCCCCCTAGATCTCGGCCAATCAGAAAGCACCGTCGCCAGTTATTGGCTCTACTCCACAGGACGGGTCATCTTTAGGCCATAGCCTAATTCCATGTGCCTCATACTCATCTGGTTTGCTTCAGTGTCAACACAATAAACATTAATGAATAACACCTCCCTCAATAAACAGGGCACTGTTTATGACATCATAAATAAAGACATAATTGTCCAGGCTGAGTTGATCCCAGTCTGACTTGTGTAACTTCCTGAACTCTACTGTTCTTACAGGGTTTTTCTGTGTTACAGACAATAGTAGTATTAATTCAGCAATCAAGACCATACACAAAGATACTGTGATGATGTTACCCCTTTTCCAAAAAAATTATAAATAAAAAAGAATGCAATGATTTCCATATAAACCTATATTTGATTGAAAATAGAACAAAACAACATATCAGATTTTATTGTTATATGACAAATATAAGCTCAATTTGAATTTGATGCCAGCAACACTTTTCAAAAATGTTGGGACATTTTCCAGTGTTTTGGAAAGGGAGTCGTAGAAGATAATGATATTGTTGTTATATTTAAATGAAAATGTACAGTGCATTAGGATTAAAGATGGAGTCCCCTCTCATCTCTCTTCTCATGCCCTGGCTGATTCACCCAGGTGTCCAAAAGCCACAGGACGACACGTCAGAAACATCCACTGCTGCAGCACTGGGAGTCAGGCCTAGTGAATGGGAATGAGACGGAGAGGAACTGAAGGTGGCGCCACTCTAGAGGAGCCCCACAGCAACTGCAGTTTATTTTTCCCATATCTGCAGTTTTAGCGGGCATCGCATCCCCTCACCCCAGCCCACCGGGGATGCTGGAATGCCGGAACCAGAAAGCCGTTTGGAAGAATTGGAACATGAGTATGCAGCGAGGAGGTCTGATTTGGGAAAATTTGAAGACTTGAAAAGTTGAAAGAGTTGAATGGGAGTGTCTACCCATAGCAGTGTTTCCGTGATGAATCCAGGGCAGTGACTGGCGGAGCTCGCAGGTGGATTTCACTTGTCTTAGGTTTTTAAATTCTGATCCTGTTTCACAGCCCTAGATATCAGTCTGGCCTGAGATCCGATTCTGTCCCGTTCCCCCATTCAACCGCCTGTGTAGCTTTCAGTTCAAGCCCCTTTAATGTATGTACAGTGGTACCTCAGAACTCGAAATTAATCCGTTCAAAACTCCGGATCGAATCCTAAAAAGTTCGAGTTCTGATCGACTTTTCCCCATAAGAAATAATGGAAAACCAATTAATTGGTTCCCGGCCCCAAAAAAAATACACCAAAATATGTTTTTTTAACATTTAAACACAAATTGAACCGGACAAAACAAGAAAAGCATATACTGCACTAAACACATCTAAGCACATTTATCAAAACAGTAATTTTTAAAGTAAGAAAATAAATGTATCCAAACAATGTGTAAAGTTAAAAAAAAACAATGTGTCCTGCCCTGATCGTCCGCTCCTTCCGTGTGCCACGCCCCCTCGTTAACCCCTTGCGGAATCCCAGTGTGATCAGCTGTCTCTAGTTGTTTTCATTAGCTCTCTGTATTTAGTCCGCGTTTCAGTTTGTTTACCCAGTCCGGTCATTGTATTGTCCATCTGCGTTTTGCCTGCCTTACCTGTAATTAAACCCCGTATTCCCTGATACCCTGACGTCTGCGCCTTTGTCTCCATTCCGTCCCCGCTGGGCACGACAATATTATTATAATTAAATGTATTAATGATTTATTATTTATATTAAAATAATTAATAAGAAATCTTTATTTTTAAATGTATTTTATTATATAATAATAATTACTGTTACTGTTTATCATTGTCTAAATGTATTTTTACTGTCTAAATATATGTTTTCAGCTACTGTAAACATGCAGGATGCTATCACAGTGATTGCGAGGCTGAGACTGAAGCGTTACCCTTTGTTTCCACTGAGAGACGCGCAGCGTGACTTATTTCCCCGCGCCTACAAGTTATCTTAGGTCGGCGTTCACGGTTTGACTTCTGAGATTCAGATCGAGTTATAGGTAATTTTTTTTTTCGAACTGGTCGGTTCAACTTTTAAGAAATTCGAGTTTTAATGAGTTCGAGAACTGAGGTACCACTGTATATCCACACATGTCAGAGTCTGTTTTACTAAAGAGTTATACAAGAATTTGAATTTAATAATGCAGAGGAAACCCGTTTTCCTCTACCATGCATTTCTGTCTCTTAAGATATATTTCAGTATTTCCAGTAGGGCTCATAATTATCATCCTGGTTCGTGCTTCTCATCAGTGCTTCAGAATAACGTCGCTCTCACTTCTGATCTCATTTAGTACTGTGGTTTCTTTATTTATAATGAATATGGCCGAATAGCGCTTGTTAAAACTGTAAGACCATGCATAATAAATGAACCAGATGTCAATTTATCTGCATTTGTAAGTGATCATACACACATACCTTATATAATCATAGTAACAGTATTCCATGGGTAGTTGGAGGTATAATGAACGTTCTCTTATGTTAGGAAACCAAAGTCCACACAGATCAGAGTCCAGTAATATAGCCCTTGGCAGGAGGAAGTTTGGGAGCAGGAGACAGTTTTGCTTCAGCTTAATAAGCAGCTATTTATTTTTCATTATTTATAGAAGTGGAGAAAAAAAATGAAGATTCAAGTTAAACAGCTGTCTGATGGATGAAGGAAAATGCAGAAAGAAATATCTAAACTAGCCGTCATGAATTCAGTTTTGGTTTTACTGATAGTCCGCATTAGAATCTGGAGAGAATTTTGAGGCCCAGTTAAAGGTCCCTGAGTGCTGCAGGTTAAACTGTCCTATGAGCAGCAAAAGGCAGCTTGGGTAATATTAACTCTTATTGTATCTGATTGCTAAATCACACCAATCCACAACTGAAATATGTTAATGTCTGTTTTCCCTCAAGCTCTGTTCCCTTTGAGTGCCTCATAATGACTGGCAGACTTAATAATGTTAATTATTCATGGCTGTGTTTTCACTATCGCTCGTGCTCAGCCTTGAATCGGGATCGAATCAATCCGGAGCCAAATCAGAACAGCAGAGAAAACGGCCAGGGAGGAATGTGGAGCGGAAGCTCAGCCCTGGAGCACCGAACTATTCAGCTGAAATTGGGATGCTGGTGTGTGCGCTTGGGAATGGTGACGGAGCGCTCACATTGTCAGACATTTGGATTTCATTTGGATGGGAGGCTCAGTGGGGAGCACTTTGCAATGACCCCCCTAGATGGGGGTTCAAATTCTGTGTGGGTGACCTTCGTCAGAATCACTTTTGTTTGTCTTTTCTCTGGCTACTCAGTTGTCCCCTTGCAGCTCAGTGACAGGGGGAGGGAGGCAAATCGGTGTCTCTAAACACCCTTATAATGGCATGAGGATGTACCCCTCCTGGCCCACCACCGCCCCCTACAGGAGAAGCAGGTATGAGAGGTGGATGGGTGCAGATTATCTGGTCCCACATTAAATAACCAGCTGACTTCACTAACCTAGGTCATATGACATATTCCTATGGTGACAATCGGGGTCAAGCCAACTGGCATTATAAATTATTCACCTTTTTCAGCTGTTCGTGTAAGAAAAGAAAAAAAAATGTAGGTTTGTCCGACTGTGTCGCATTTGCGAACAACAACCTCAAAGGATGATTCAGTTTCACTGGCGCGGTCCAATGAGTGAAGCAGGCCCATGAGTCTTTTGTGCTTCGAATAAAGAGGATTGAAGTAGCTCCAGCACTCCACGACTGGCCCTGCGCACTTGCGTAACATCTTTGTGGGGCTCAAACAATGGCAGACCGTGGTGGATGGGGTGCGAGGCTGTTTGGTGTAGCATGACATGGTGTGCTGAGCAGGTTTCACACTGGGGGGTGCAGAGGCAAGATGCTCAAGCATTTCGGATAAAAAAGCAGCAGGCGTGATTGTTTTCCCTGTATCTTCTCTTGGACTGTAACAACTGTTACTAGCCTAGAGTAATATAAAATGAAAAGGATCTTGGTAAGCTGAGAAGCTCTTCTAACATCTTCCTGGATGCACAAAGCAACCAGTTATTATAGCTGTGGCTTTTCATCTGTTGCACAAAGTACAAAAGATATGAATGCTGGAAAAATAGCATGTTCATAATCTCTACATCAGGGGTCACCAACATGGTGCCCGCGGAGGGCATTTCAAACTGGTAGCCCTTCGTATGGCTCAGTACCCGTGAAGTAGCTCTCAGTTTCAAAAAGGTTGGTGACCCTTGCTCTAAATGCTCTGAGTGCACCATAAAACCCATTTAATTCCAGTGCATGTTCTAAATCCTTACAGGCAGGTCTGTCACCTGAAATCAAAACTTAGTGCAAACCCAAACTAAATCAAAAATTAATCCTAACCCTAATCCTAGTTGTAACCCTAACAGGAACCCTTGACCCAGTTTTAAAACTAATAGCGATCCTAATGCTAAAACAAACTGTAGCATTAATTGTTAGCCTAACCCTAACCCTAGCTGTAACTCTAGTAGTAACCATAACTCTACCTCTAAGCCTAATAGTATCCATAACCATTAGCTGTAACCCTAATAATAAGCCTAACCCAAATCTTAATTATAGCCTAGCTCTACCCTGCCTCTAGGGTTAGGATTTCTATCAGGGTTACAGCTAGGGTTATGGTTAGCATTAAGGGTTATTTCTATGATTAGGTTTAGGACTAAGAGATGAGCTAAGGGTATGGTTTGCATGTAGGGTAGAGCTCGGGTTAGGAATAGAGTTAGCATTAAGATTAGGGCCAGGATTACAGCTAGGGTTAGCATTGGGGATCTGGTTAGATTAAGGGTGAAGAAAGGCATTTAGTTCAGAGGAAGGGCTAAATTTAGGATTAGCATTAAGGCTATAGCTAAGGTTACAAGTGAGGTTGGCGCTAGACGTTTTGTTAGGGTTAAGGTTTGAATTAGTATATAGCCTAAAACTAGGGATAGGGTTTGAGTTACCTTGACGTGTGCACATACACGTATCCCCCATTTAACGTCCATTCAATCAACATCCATTCTCATTAATGGCCATGCCCTAAAAAATGACAACAAAGAAATAAAATCTATTTTTTAATGCCGGACGTAGCGGCCACAGTTTTTAAAACGCACAGGCAGGCGGTAGGTAGTTTGTACTGTACAGTGCTGCCTGACGTATAATGTTACAGTACTGTAATAACCTCTAGTTAACCATATTTTACTTATAAATTATTACAGAATTTATATTAATTGCTTACTTATGTATAAATTACTGTATTTTCTATAGTTTAAAGTGTTTAAAATGTGAAATTTTAGCTAAAAAGTTACAAAAAGGTAAAGCGTTCACTGTCATACGAAACGGATTTTCTTATTTTATAAAAAAAAAAACTTTGAATACGAAACCTCTTAAAATTGACATCCTACTACACATGATATGTGTTTGTTTATTATGCATGATACGTGTTTCATTTTTTGTAAAAGATAAGAATTATTGTACAGTACTGTACTATGCGTCTGTACTGTACTAAATGTTTTCATATTGTGCTTTAATGATTCATAATGAAGTTTAAAATACAGCGCTATCTACAAAGTATTTAAACTACTTAGTACAGTCATTAAAGGCATCTGACACTATGGCAGGGCTGAGAAGCATAAAGTTTCTAAGTAACCATGGTAATACCTGATTGACATCCAAATCGTTCAACGTCCTGTAAAACAGAAGAGATATGCGGACATTAAACGGGGGGGTTCCTGTACTGCATTTGTCCATGTATGTCGTGGTCAGCTTCAACAATGATATTCAACCAGACGAGCAGAAGGTAGATGCTGTTGTCCTGGTCCGATTGAATTCTCCTCTGCACATCCTTACACAGCTGCTCATCAAAAGCGTCCATAACTACGATGTATTATTCTACCCTTTCATCATGGACCAGTGCTCTGTGAGAGTCCGTGCTGCCACCTACTGAAAACAGCTAATCAATTTCCAGGTACATGCATAGCACCAACCACATAAAGTTCACAAGAACCAAAAACTGGGGCGCATGTGCTGAGACCACTGGACACCCCTGCTGACAAAATTTATGTCACTCCCCCTGTGCTCGGACCGTAAGGGCATGCAGAAAAGTGAAGCATGAATTGAACTTTAAGGCTAAATAGGGTTTGAGTTTGGATAACTAGGGATACTGTTTAGGTTAGATTCGCTTAGATTAAACTCAACTTTTTGTCAATGTACAAAGTACAAGTACGCAGACATCAAAATTCAGTTTGGCAACTAATCCAAAATATGCAAAATAGTGCGAAAGTGCTAGAAACAGCATTACAATGCATACATAGTGTGATAATTAGTGAATTTTTGTGATTAGTGATGAACCTGCTCCCTGTAAGGCTTCCTCATCCCCACTGATCTGACCCATTGCTATGATGTTGTCTGCAAACTTGATGGTGATGTTAGATTCATAGGGATGCTGTTATAGGTTAGCATGTAAGTTACAGTAGCATACAGGCTAGAACTAGCGTTATAATGGAACAGAATATCTGTATCGTCACTGTACTCATTCAACATAACTCTGTTTGCATTCTCCACCAATGATATTAAATAGAATAAAAATTAAAATTCAAAGATATGAAAGTGCTTAGCGCAATAATATGATTGGCATTGTTGAAACACGCAACAGTATATGATTAAAAATTAGTAGTACTGTAAACATGTAACACTATATGCAGATGATAGGGTGCAGGGTGCAATGGTTCAGTGCAATGACGGTCCATAGGGTCTAGAAACATTGTGCTTGTTGTGTGTTATACCAGCCTGATTAAAACCAACAACAAGTCGTTAAAGGGTCAATATAAACGAAAATGAAGTTTAATTCCAGCACAGAAAAAGGCAATTAAATAATTAAGGTCAAAGAGGGATATAATCAAGCCACCAGACAAGGTATCAGGAATTATAACAATGCATAAACAACAATTAATATTTGAAGGCGTGAGGCAATTAAATGATACAGAGTATTAAATTCCATCAATACACCCATTACAAGACGAAACAATAAAAAAAGTCAGTAGAGTCCTACAAACACTCTATTCAGAACGATTGATTACTTTGGAAGAGAAAAAATACTTAATTGATCCAGACATACCCTGTTTCGCTTATTATCTAAGATCCACACAAACCCCAAAGCTTGATGGTCCCTGGTGAGATCCCTAAAGGGAGACCTATTGTATTGGACTGTGGAAATAATACACACCGGATATATACAATATACTGATAGTTTTCTACAACACCACAGGAACTATTAAAAGGACACATGTGACTTTATTGCCAAATGTAAGGATATTCAGGTAACAGGTACAGACTTTGTGTTCACAGCAAATATTTTAGCTTACACTGCCTGGCCAAATAAAAGTCACAGTTTGAATTTAAATTAGCAAGTAATTAAAAGCCAATGATTGGATCATTATTACAGCTCAACATCGTTATGAAAAAGAATGTTGAGATGTTGCATAAGCATGTGGAAACAATGCACCATAATCAAATCTAATGGCAGTCCAGCGAAATATTAAAATGTGCGATGTTTTTTTGGCCAAGCAGAGTATATGGCAGAGTGGGAGGAGACCCTGAAAATGTAAATATCCTCCCTACATCTATTTCCAGGTCTGTCATCACAGGGAAACATTTTTTAAAACCTCTTAAATCTTATGCACACATATCATCCCAGTATTAGAATAAAACAAATGATCAATTTCACCTCTGCAAACCTTCTAAACACCATAGTATTTTTGGTCTTCTAGTAAAAGGCTACAGGATCTTTAAATCGATCCAAGGTCTATGTCAGGCACACAGATGCGCACGGCCAATTCCATAAAGCCAGCTTTCACCCTAAGGATACAATTGAGGGACTGAGCAAATCACAATTAATTGGATTTCACTGCATTTATTCAGACAAATGGGATTTAATTAGGTCACCAAAATCTCAAATTGGGCGACAGAGGTAAACTTTACACTGTCTGAGGGCTGAGGATGGCCAAGAAGAATAAAATTAAACTACTTTCCAAAATGACCAGTTACAGGAGTTTTGCTGCAGTTCGAATATATTGAACTTTGAGTAGTCAGTTACAGAACCAGTATTAGCATCTAAGATCCGTTTACTATTCTGAACAGTAAAAATCTACGAATTTACTAAAACAAGGTCACAGTCTGCAGCCTATCCCAGGAAGTACAGGGCGTATGATTGGCGACACCAGTCTATCACAAGGCACACACTCACATGCTACAGTATGTTTAATTTAGAGACATTAATTATCGTAAGCTCGTGTTTTTGAACTGTAACAGAAAACCAGAATAACAGCGTGACGGGAAGATTGTGCAAACGCCACACACAGAGCTGCAAGCTATAGGTTTTTAACTCCCACATTGCCACGATACAGTTTGCTATATATAATTTAAGGCTTATGAAACAGTCGTGGGAAAATGGGAAGAACTTTTAGTGTCGTCTGTGAGAAAATGAAGTACCAAGCACAGCGAACCTTTAGATGTAAACAAATTATACACTAATGAAATTAATTTAAAAACTCTAAACCACTAAATAAATGACAACCACTGACCTACATGCTTTCCACGACAGACCAGCTCCGAACCGCTAAAAAGTTACATCAGACCGTCCGCAGCGTCGGATGTTCTTCTGATGGTGGCGCTGTCACAAGCTGTGTTATGACACTTCATTACTACAACGGGAAACTCATATTAGATATGTACATAAACTGCTAACTGGTTAAGTTACGACCGTATCTAATCAAACGTTTAACACGAAGAGAATACTCTTTTTTGGGTAGATTTTGTGCTCTCAGTTGCTTTTATTAAAAACAAGAAAATCCACCAAGGGTCTTCAAACGCAGTTAGTATAGTCAAGAGGCCATGCATGCATGCATGCATCCATCCATCCATTTTATATACCTGCTCGTACTATGCAGGGAGGCGAATGTCCGGAGCCTATATCCTGGAAGCTACGGGCGCAAGGGAGGGAATACGATATATAAATAAATTCGTGTCATGTAACTTACGACGTCCTCACGAATACTTTCAGCATCGAGAAATACTAATGATAAAAACATAACCAACTTTTGTTGTGTTTTATGAAATGCATATAACCACTTTCTCACCCTTTCACGCGGCATATGACCGCATGACTTCAGAGAGAATAATCGGATTATCTAATGCTACAGATCAGCTTTGAATCCTTCAGCGGCGACATTTATGAATTTGGTCATACCGTGTCAAACGTTTCCACATTGTTTTCCCCAATAAACACACGTGTGCTCATTTTCGTCTAACTTGCTCAAAATAAGTTTGTTTTGCTCCAAACCTTTATTTAGCATAAAACTGACACAAATTGTTCACAAAAAACACGTAACAATAAACCCCATATCTACACTACATGATATTCGAGTCATAATGTCTTACTTGCAAACGAAATAATTGGTACGGAAACACAAGTTTATTTCACTGGGTTTAAGCGCCCTCTACTGACACATTGTTAAGAAAACCACAAACTGGACCGCTCACATATAATTATGATATAAAATACCATACAATAAAACTTCCCAGCCTTTATAAGGATAAAAGCTTGATGATGGATGCACGATACAGTTAGAAAAAACTTCACATTCATAAAAAATTCAACACATTATTAAGGATACATTAACATGATTAATTTAATATTATATTAAAACAGGATTAAAATTACACTGTAACAGATTAACATTAATAGGCACCATTTGGGAATCTATGTCCACAGAACATGCTTGCGTAAAAAGATTTAGAAAGCATTGTTCAGAAATCGTCTTCACTTACATCATAAATGTGGAAATAGATTTTTGTGCAATATAACAAAGTACTCAGATGTTTGACAAAAAAAAAATAGGAATCATAGTTGCAATATGCCTTATTTGTATTTTCTTTCTTAAAGTACTTATCATACACACGCACACACACACATATATGTGTATGTATTTATATGTATGTAGGCATGTATATGTATAGGCATAAGCGTGTTAGCGTCATGCATGACAATACTGTGATCAGAGTGAGGACAGGTTCCTAAATGTTGAGAAGGGGTACTGAGACCCGGACAGTGATGCACTGGGACTTCCAGCGGTTCCTCCCACTCTGTCATCCGCACATGGGGTCCAGTCCTGCACACACATCCACACACTCACAGTTAATACGCCGTGACCAAGCTGTGGATTGGATGTTCACAGCCCCTTGGTGGGGAACATCTCTGAGCAGATATGAAACATGAACAGACACACATACCAGTTTTTCCAGCACAATGCCAGATTCATGATAATATATTATTTCACTCGATTATTTGGCCAATCCTAACCCTGTGTACAATATGTACTACTGCAGAAAACAATAAACATATCGACACCCAGAGACATCGTTAGACCTATTTTAGGATTTTTTTAGCCCCCCGAAATAAATGTTTCTTGGTTTAAATCCATGAATAGTTTGCCATCCCCCCCAGTAAAGACTCAGCCCCCCTATTCATTCATCTCTAACTATACCCCTGTCGACACCTACCAGAAAAATTCCATTAATTTTTGTTATGGCTTTTGTATATTTTGTGTTAATAGACTCAATATAGAGTATTTAATTTTGGAACAGCCTAAACACTATATTTCATTCTTACTTTGACAGCTCCCAGATATAATGTATTTTTTTGAATAATAATAATAACATCTATAGCTGACTTTTGCTTTGCATAAATAAAGATAATAATTAAATGCACCTGGCTCCCAGTCCAGGGTTTACCTCGTCTTGTGTCCTGTACGGCCTGGGATTGGCTCCTGAGCCCCCTTATCGAGGACAGACACAGCGCCATGCACCCCTTACATCATAAGTTAACATACAGTAGTCTTTGAAAGCTTTTTCTTGCTAACAGTGAGGAACTCCCAAGCACACAGAGCTCTGTCATGAGTTTGTTGCCTGGGGAATAATTAAATTAGTCTGCTTAATTACTAAGGTGAATAATCCAAACCACAGTAAGCAGCTTCACAAGCAGCCCCATGGGAATCGGAGCCTGTGGGTGTTGATAGTTTGAAAAGGTGATGCAGAGTCCATACGGGCAAAGGGGAACACAATGGGTCACTTGCAGACACTTTTAGAAGAAGGTGATGCGTCGCTCCATAAAGCGGTGAGTCGCGGGACGGAGAGAGACACAAGGAGACCAGGCCGTGGTGCCGGGAGGGAATGTTATGCCAGCTCAGGCTGCACATTGGAAGTACAAGAGCGACGCAACTCTACAGTAAGCTGCTTTACCTGTGAGCCAACGCTGATGCGTCTCAGGGTTAGGTCTGCGGGAACACAAGAGTCAGAACTTAAGCTGAATGTCACTAAAATAATGGCTGCTTCCGTATGGATAATGTACCAGCCATAAATAGGGAAATTACAGAATATTTAAGTTTTATGTTAAAAATGTATTTAATGACTGCATCCATTTTTGCTCCCGTCTGTATATGGTTATTTTAACACTGTAATGGTATAGACCAGTTTAACACCCCATATTCGCAATTATCTTTGGTTTATTCCAATATTGTTAATTTACGGGAAACAGAAGTATGAGCTGTCATGGTTTGTTTCAAATGTAAACGAAAGTAAAGCTCTTCAGAAGCCTTGCGTCAATGACTGCCACGTGATGACGAGTCATCTGGCAAAGCGTGGGAAATGCCGTACCGACGACGCGGTCCGTGGCGTGCATGTGGTGCCAGAAGAGGGCCTCCTCCCTGAACACAACACAAAAATGTCTCATTTATGCTGTGTGCATTCATCAGGCGTTCTTTAAGAGATTTGTCTGCGCATAGCAAGATACCTTTTCCGCCTCTTCTCCGCCAAAGCTTTGACTGGAAGTGGAACAGAACCAGAATGTCAACACAGGCACACAGACAGACTATATATATACACAAGATACACAAGATAAAAGACGCCCAGAGGTACCTTTCATATACACTGCAAACCCCAGGCATCCCAGCGCTGCCATGAACAGTATGGATGCAGACAGAGAGCCTGCAATCAATGGCCAGTCTACCTCGCCTGCAGTGGTGCGACAGGTGAGACGTGACTCACTGGATCCATGTAAGACATATACAGTTTGGATGAGTGACAGTCAAAAGCTGTCGGCAAACAGCTCTGGGTGTTTGTGTTTCTGCTGGTATGATGCCCGTATTTTACCTCCGTCATCTGAGAGAGCAGGAGGCGGCACAGCTGCAGTATTTAAATTTGTTTCTGAAAGATAATGATAACGAGGAAACAAGTATGCATTTGTATGCATATACACACAGACAGACCATGAAGACCTTTTTAAGATAAATATGAAATGCACATGCCCACAAACACATGTCCACATACACATGCCCACATACACATGTCCACATACACATGTCCACATACACATGTCCACATACACATGCCCACATACACATGCAAACACCTTTAAAGCCAGGCAGGGTTATGGGAGCACTGCGTTCAGACTCTTTGACATCAGGGCCCAGATGCACACTGTACTGACACTGGTACTGGTTCTGCCTACTGGGCGGGGAAAAGCGGGCACTATGGCGGGTCTTGGAGGCCTTCTGGGAGATCACAGGCTGCGAGGATCCCAGATGGAAGAGCGAGAACAGGGCCCCGGGGTAAGACGGCAACCCCACACACTCCAAACTAATTTCCGTCTCGTCTATGGGGTCCTGACTGGTCAAGGACAGACTTGGTGCCGGCAACAACTCTGAGACAAAGAGAACCATACAGTATCACTGCATCAATAATCTGCTAATTATCCAGCATAGCAGAGATATAATCGGAAATAAAAAATATGAACCAGGACCATGTTGTGGCCAGGTGACAACAATAATGCCCAAAGAACATCCAGGGCAAAATCAGACCATCATAACATTCATCATGCCCAACAATCAAGATCAACACTGATTCTCCATTGTTTCATCTTCTCTGCTTTCTTCTTTTTCCCTCATATTTTCACTACTAAATAACACTGACTGCTGAGTTCACTTATTATAATCCATCTTATAATAATGTCTTCACCTTAAAATCCAGGCTTTGCACACTAGTTATAAAATGCCAGTGCCATCCAGTCCGTGACAGGGTGTCTAGAAAAGGTCTGGTGTAATACAGTGAAGTTTCTAGCCAGGGTTCCCTGAGGGCTCCACCCCCAACAGTAACCAGATCACATGATGCACCTCCAGCTTACCCAAGACTGTTAAGTGCACTGGCTCATTGAGGGTGGATCTGTCTGCCCATGTGCTGGCAAGGTGAGCTGGTAGAGATAGACATAGGACCCCTCATCTGCCACTCCCATGGCATGTGTTCCATTCCCACTGTTCTGTACTGATCACAGCTGAGGCCTGTGATCCATCTCCAGTGTCCCACATTAACCACAGCTGAGGGGTGTGATCCATCTCCAGTGTCCCACATTAACCACAGCTGAGGGTTGTGATCCATCTCCAGTGTTCCACATTAACCACAGCTGAGGTCTGTGATCCATTTCCAGTGTTTCACACTAACCACAGCTGAGGGGTGTGATCCATCTCCAGTGATCCACATTAACCACAGCTGAGGGATGTGATCCATCTCCAGTGTTCCACATTAACTACAGCTGAGGCCTGTGATCCATCTCCAGTGTTCCACATTAACCACAGCTGAGGGGTGTGATCCATCTCCAGTGTTCCATATTAACTACAGCTGAGGCCTGTGATCCATGTCCAGTGTTCCATATTAACCACAGCTGAGGGGTGTGATCCATCTCCAGTGTTCCATATTAACCACAGCTGAGGCATTTGATCCATCTCCAGCAATCTACATTATGCAGGGTATATAGAATAATATAGACCTCAGCTGTGGTCAATATGTAAGAGTGTGAATAGAATACAAGCCTCAGCTGTGGTCAATATGGAAGAGTGGGAATAGAATACAGGCCTCAGCTGTGGTCAATATGGAAGAGTAGGTGAGATTTGGAGGTGAGAATCAGCATCTCCAAATCCGAGACCATGGTCCTCAGCCAGAGAAGGGTAGAATGCTCTCTCCGGGTCGGGGATGGGGTCTTCCCCCAAGTGGAGGAGTTTAAGTATCTCGGGGTCTTGTTCACGAGTGAGGAAACGATGGAACGTGAGATCGACAGGCGGATCGGTGCGGCATCAGCAGTGATGCGGGCGCTGCATCGGTCTGTCATGGTGAAGAAGGAGCTGAGCCAAAAGGCAAAGCTCTTGATTTACCAGTCGATCTACGTTCCTACCCTCACCTATGGTCACGAGCTGTGGGTAGTGACCGAAAGAACGAGATCGCGAGTGCAAGCGGCCGAAATGAGTTTCCTCCGCAGGGTGGCTGGGCTCTCCCTTAGAGATAGGGTGAGGAGCTCGGTCATTCTGTTTGTTACTATATCTGTTAATTCTGTAAACCTTTGTGAACTACTGAAGGAATTACAGGAGGAACTACTGAAGGAACAAGTCATGAATAACATGAGATACTGATCTTATGTTTGTACATCAATAATGAATCATGATGCATCTTTTATCTCGACTATATTTGTTCAGGATTTGTTCATGATTAGTACTTCAGTAGTAACTGAGTTATTACTAAGTAATTGTGACCCATCAAGTGAAGTGTTACGGAACACACTTCTACCAGAAACTGATTTGGTGTAGTCTGCAAAGTTAACTGCACATTAAGCCAAACCAAGAAAACTTCACAGGATCTGAAGGTACTCATTCAGCAGAAGGACGGGTGTGGCAGCGTTTCGGTTGGTGCAAATGGCTGTGGGCTGCTATGGTACATATGTTACCTGCCTTTTCCTGTCAAACCGTCACCCCCCTGAAACTTCAGTGACAACATTCTAACCAGAAAGGGCTGCTTTTTTCCAAGCAGGTTCTAATGATGATTTCTTAACTATTATTAAACCCACTCATTATAATTCCATAAACAACTATAGATAAATTAATCCCTACAACCTTTAAATAGATTACATGTGGTTAGTTAGTTATTTTTGAAGCACTCTTTGTACTGCTAGCATCCTGCCCAGGGTATGCCCCTGTTTTGAGATCCTAGTAAGAGTTGAATCAAAAACAATATTTAAAAATTATAAAAAAATTGGATCAATGGAGCAGAATTTAGAAACCTCAGCTGGACTTCATGTTAATGCAGCACACAGAAGTGTACTGTTGAGTAGTACAATGCATCTCCATCTCCCAGTGAGACGGAGACGGGAAGAATTTCGATCCCAAGCTGCAATCACTCTACCATTTAAATCCCCGTCTTTCATAACTTTGAATGCAGCAACCCTTCCACAGCCAGATTCTGCAGCAGTAGAATCAACTGTAATTAGGGTCCATTGTAGGGTCACAGACTATAGCGAACCCTGAGAGCACATTAACATCGCTCACTGCCCATCATCCCTGTCTGCTGATCCTGCATTCCAGGAGAAGCCCAAACGGAGCACTGGTGCTCCTGCCTGCTGTCTCTACTCACCTACTGGTTTCATGTATTGGCTAAAATGGCTGTATACTTTGTCTTGGTCCTGGTACAGGCAACAGAAGCGTTTCTCCATCGCGAGGTGCATCTTCAGGGTGAAACGTGCCTCGGGCGTGTTTCCTGTGAAGGACACATTGTCCACCAAGTTCTTGTCCTGGTAGAGCTGGAACATAACCCCCCCGTGGCCAGGTGGGGCCCGACAGAGCAAGTCCACATTGCCCCGAGTCTGGGAGTGTTCCTGGGTGAGCAGGGGTACTGGAAGGACAGGCGCAGTGTCAGACATCTGGGCCGGAGCTGCAGTGAAAGAATGAGTGTCATGGTTCTGCAGCTACATCCTGGTATCATTTCAACTACGGCATGTTTTATTTAATTTTTATGTCCTTTGTCAGTTCAGTTTATGTCATGTCAACAGTTAAATGTGTATCAAAATTTAATCAAGATCAAGAGGTTAGAAAAACCCAAAGATCTACATACTTACCCCAAAATATCAATATGAGGGTGAACCCTGTGAACGGACAGCGATGTCGAGAGAGCAGCATTCTGTAAGGTCAGTGTGCTGAGCTGTCTTGATCTCCACTGAATCACATTCGAACACTGAGTTAAACCCACTTGCAACACAGGAAAAGTCTACTTCCTTCCTCCAAATCTGCAGTTTCATTTTCTGAATTGTTTTTTAAATACTGATAAAAAACTGATCTATCCACTACATGTTGATTCAGAAGCAGTTTAATTTCTCATACGAACACAAGTAAAGAAGGAATCCAAACTGTAAACTGCGGTCTTCACTGGTGTAAACATTTTTTCTTAGTGTTTACCATAAATATAGACAATTTATTAGGCTCTCTAATGATCTACAATACTGCGTGGAAGTCTTAGGCTGACACAAAAATTTTGTTTGTTGGTGTAAAACTATGATTTTCAAACTGTTAGCTTAGTCACTCCAAAACCTCTCCTGTGGGGATTCACCACAATATTTGCTGTTACCACCCAGTATACCCAGATATAGCTGACTACTAGCCTATCTCGTTTGGTTAATCAATACCTCATGTTGTTTATTAACTGGTTAATTAAGTGAGCTGGTGGTGAAATTTAAGAAATACATGGGCTGGGGGTTGGGGTTAGGGTTAGGGTTAGAAGTAGGGTTAGGGTTAGGTTTTAGAGTTTGGAGTTCGAGAAGGAAATTTAGGGTTAGGGAAGGGGATTTAGGGTTGGGGTTAGGATAGGGGTAGGGGGTTAGGGTTAGGGAATGAACCCCAAGGTTAATTCTGGTGCCCACCCTACTTCTTCCCATCCCCAGGCATTGCTGCTAAAAATTAGGAGATATAAAGTGCCTAATCAGCTTCAATTTTGCTCCATTTTTAGGGCTCAAAGTCCCAAGTCTTCACACAAGGGAAGAAGGGTAAGGGGTTAGGGTTAGGAGTAGGGTTGGGGTTAGATTTCGGGTTAGGGTTTACGGTGTTTGCTGGTGGTGAAATTTAAGAAATACATGGCTCGTGTGGGGTGTTCCTGAGGGGGGGTTTGGGAACTGTGGGGGTAGAAGCAGGAGGGTGGACAGAGTACGTGACAGGAAAATATATCTGCAAGACATTAAGCAACTGCAAGAAGATAGACAGTCTAACACCTATAACCACAAAAGTTATATTTACGCCAAGTATGCAATCCCTTATGTCCACATCAGTATTACACTGCACCATGTAGAACATCTGGGTCTGGCCGACCCAGTCGCAATATTTTTTTTAATGATTTTTTTTTAATTCGCGAATATAAAAAATGTCGTCTTTACTGCAAAGAGTCATCCCTTATGTGTCATGTAATACATTTTTGTGACCACTAGATGCCGACAAAGACCGTGGAAAGCCTTTCAAAGTTAGTGCGAGACCTAGCGGTTGCCCCATGTTTGAAATCTTCGACTGGGTCTTGAAGACCCTGAAATGGACATAAGGGTTAGGTTCTGAGAACACCTGTAAACAACAAGGGTTCTAAGAACTTAGAAATAAGCTAAGATGGAAATGTACCAGCTCTGCTGATTATGCTTTCGCTTTTGAGCAACACCAGAACAAGGAAGTAACTAAGCACAATGCAGGTGTAACAGTGTACATTTTCCACTTGCACTCCTGTGTGAGCCAGCTTTTCCCATATATACTAATCG